GGGACTTGGCCGCCTGTGTCATCCTCAACCTCCTAGAAGCCACTTTTTTTTAAAAAAAAAAAAGTAAAAAAATGTTTCATTTATTTTTTTCTCACCTGTTTGGGGAGACTCGTTTTAGGAATGTGTTGTATTTAACCCGGTACCTCCGACATGCCCGCATTCCCGTGTGTGCTCAGGGTGAGCTCACTCGTGGGACACCTACGTGCTGTGTCTCCAGGCCGACGCTCCATTTCCAAGAGTTAAATTGAGACGTGGTCTTACCAAAGGGAAGCACTTTACACTGTTCCTGGTTTTAAATTTAAATGAAAGTTAAATAAGATCGGACGTGTTCACGCCTTGGGCCACGTGTGCCCCATTTCCAGTGGTCAGCAGCCTCGGGCGGCCGGTGGCTCCTGTGCTGGACGGCACAGCTCTCAGCCGTGTTTACTTGCCTATCTCATATCGGGAGGCAATGCCAGGTCCTGACCCAGAGGAGGCCTCCTCAGATATTAGTCAGAGAGATAGATGATGGGTGGACGGATAAATGGAAGGAAGGATGGATGGATGGGTGGATGGATGGATAAATGGAAAGATGAATAGATGGATAAAAGGAAGGAAGGACGGATGGATGAATAAATGGAAGGATGGATGGAAGGAAGGAAGGATGATAAATGGATAGAAGGAAGGAAGGATGGAAGGATGGAAGGATGGATGGATGGATGATGAATGAATGGATAGAAGGATGATGAGTGGATGGATGGATAAATGGAAGGATGGATGGATGGAAGGATTGATGGATGGATGGATGATGAATGGACGGATGGATGATGAAGGGATGGATGGATGATGAATAAATGTATGAATGGATGGATGTGTGGATGGAAGGATGGAAGGATGGATGGATAATGGAAGGATGGATGGATAAATGGAAGGATGGAAGGATGGATGGATGGAAGGAAGGATGGATGGATGGATGGATGATGAATGGATGGATGATGAATGGATGGATGAATGGATGGATGGATGGATGATGAAGGGATGGATGGATGATGAATAAATGTATGAATGGACGGATGAGTGGATGGAAGGATGGATGGATGGAAGGATGGATGGAAGGATGGATGGAGGGATGGATGGATGGATGGAAGGATGGATGGATGGATAAATGGAAGGATGGAAGGATGGATGGATGGGAGGATGGGATGGAAGGATGGATGGAAGGATGGATGGAAGGATGGAAGGATGGAAGGATGGAAGGATGGATGGATGGATAAATGGAAGGATGGATGGATGGAAGGATGGATGGATGGATGTGCAGTCGCTGCTGCTCCCAGCGCCCCCATCCAGCTGGCCCTGGGTTTCCCACTTCCTCTTCCCATCCCACTCCAAGTCTGCTCCCTGTCCTCCGGATGCCCAACCCCCCATCCACTTCTGTGGGTCAGTGGCCTCCATGACTGGCCCTCCCCTCCTGACACTGAGGAAGAGGCTATTCTGGCATCTTCTTTTTCTCCTTGCCACCTGCTTGGGAGCCTGGGCCTCTCACCCTCCCCAGCCCACTCCCTGAGCTCCAACTGGCTCCTCCACGGACCACCAGCCACTCGCTCCCCATCAGCCCGTGATGACTCATTTCTTCTACCAACAGCATTTACTGAACATCGGCTGCGTTCGGGGCACGCTTCCAGGCACTGCCCCCGGATCCGAGAGGGGACGAGCCCTGTCTCCAGGGGGTTGACCGTCCGATGAGGAGACAGGCAGGGAGTCAGCAAGACCAAGAAGGAACCTATTCAGGACGTCCATGTGGTGAGAGCTACGGAGGAAAGTCAAACAGGAGAGGGGGGTGGAGACAGTGGCAGGAGAGCTCGGAGGGGGCTTGAGGGGCCGACTTGGTGAAGGGCCTTGGCTGGGGAACAGCATGTCAGACAGGGAACAGCATGTCAGACAGGGAACAGCATGTCAGACAAGGAACAGCATGTCAGACAGGGAACAGCATGTCAGACAAGGAATAGCATGTCAGGCAGGGAACAGCATGTCAGGCAGGGAACAGCATGTCAGACAAGGAACAGCATGTCAGACAGGGAACAGCATGTCAGACAGGGAACAGCATGTCAGACAAGGAACAGCATGTCAGACAAGGAACAGCATGTCAGGCAGGGAACAGCATGTCAGGCAGGGAACAGCAGGTGCGAAGGCCGGAGGTGGTACATTCCCTGGGTCTCCGGGTCCTCTCTTTTGGCAGCTCCCATCCTCCTGAGACAGTCTCCAGGCCCGCCTTCTCCCCTCAGCATCTCCTACACCCCCATGGGGTCTCCCTGGGTCTCTCTGTCCCCCAGCACTGCCCCTGCCTTTCCCTTCCCATCTCCCTCGGGGACCTGGGAGCTCTGCTCCCCTCAGACTCTCCCTCCCCCTGGAACTCCAAGCTTCTGTCTGGCACGGTGCCCCCCTGGGGTCCCCACTGCTGTGGGGGGCCAGGTGACAGAGGTCAGCGGAGGTCCCACAGGGAGCACAGAGCAGGGGGCCACCTCCTCAGAGCCAGGAATGAAGGGTCTTTGAAGGTGGAGAAGGGCGAGGTGGCCCAGTCCCGGCCCAGGGGCGGGTCTCCACACAGCCCACCATCCTGCCGCCAGGGCAGTCCAGAGCCCGGGCAGGCCCAGCTGGCCCTCCGGGTCCCCCGCGCCCTGCAAGGGAGCCCGTTTCACAGATGAGAACAGCAGGGTTGAGACTGAAAGCAACCAAGACAGGATTCAAACTCAGTCATGGGGGGCGGGGGGGCTCCTCACACCACAGCCTCCAGACAGGCCTTTCGGCAGGTGAACTGAGTGGACAGGACACCCCAAGACGACTGTCTTCTGCCCACCCTCAGACTGAGGGCGGCCAATGCTGTGTGACCTTGGGCCAGTCACCCCGCCTCTCTGAGCCCCCTCTGTACCTGTTACACGAGTCTGACCCACCTCATCGGGCTCACCTTCAAACTAACTGGTCAGCAAACGGAATTTTAAATAGGGGTGTTTTTTGTTTTGTTTTGACTCATCCAACCAAAATTCCTCTGGCCCATACTAGGAAAACAAGGAGAAATTGCTAGAAAGATTCAACCGAAATGTTAATTCAGGATGGCTGCTTCTGTGGGTAGAAGGAGGGTCCCAGGAATCCTTTTCTTTCTAGATTTAGCTGCTCAGACATCAAAACGACAACGAGCCCTGGCCAGTGTGGCTGAGTGGATAGAGCGTCGGCCTGCGGACTGAAAGGTCCCGGGTTCGATTCCGGTCAAGGGCACATGCCCGGGTTGTGGGCTCGATCCCCAGTGGGGGGCGTGCGGGAGGCAGCCGATCCATGATTCTCGCTCATCGTGGATGTTTCTGTCTCTCTCCCTCTTCCTTCCTCTCTGAGATCAATAAAAATATATATTTTTTAAAATAATAAAAAAAATAAAACAACAGCGAGGCTCACGCACTCCTCTTCGCCTCCAAAAAGAAGTCGCTGTTGGTGAGATGATTGGTCTTGGAGGGCGGGGAGACCAGCGGTGGGGTAGCCGGGTTTGGGGGGGGGGGTAGAGCGGAGGGGTCACTGGCTTTACTGAGCCCGCCACCTGAGAAGTGTTTCATCCGGTCCTCACAGCAGCCCAGTGACACAGGCGCCTCTCACAGCTGGGGAAACTGAGGCTCAGGAGGCGAGGGGACGGGCTCCAGGCTCCACAGCTGGGAGGTGCTGGAGCTGGGAGTCCAACCCGGCGCTGTGACCTTCACGCTCCCACGTCCGAGCGTCTCTGTGCCTCGGTGTCTCCCTCGGTCTCTGACCCTCTTGTCTCTCCGCGTCTCTGCCTCTCCTTTGTTCTCTGTGTCTCCCTCGGTCTCTGACCCTCTTGTCTCTCCGCGTCTCTGCCTCTCCTTTGTTCTCTGTGTCTCCCTCGGTCTCCGACCCTCTTGTCTCTCCGCGTCTCTGCCTCTCCTTTGTTCTCTGTGTCTCCCTCAGTCTCTGACCCTCTTGTCTCTCCGCGTCTCTGCCTCTCCTTTGTTCTCTGTGTCTCCCTCGGTCTCCGACCCTCTTGTCTCTCCGCGTCTCTGCCTCTCCTTTGTTCTCTGTGTCTCCCTCGGTCTCCGACCCTCTTGTCTCTCCGCGTCTCTGCCTCTCCTTTGTTCTCTGTGTCTCCCTCGGTCTCCGACCCGCTCTCAGTGCCTTTGTCGCTCTGTTTCTGCCTCTGACCTGCTGTGAATTCCTGCCTCTCTGCCTGGGTCTCTCTGTCTCTCACCGTCTCTGCCTCTCCGTGTCTCTCCCCATCTGTGCTGCGCAGCCGCGTCTCCCTCTGGCTCCCAGTCTGTTTGCAGCTTCTGTCTGGCGGTGCCCAGCCGGGTCCCAGCACTTAGCAAAGTGTTTCACAGACAGGAGGCGCTCAGTCAACATTTATTTCTTTTTATTTTTTTTTAATTGATTTTTTACAGAGAGGAAGGGAGAGGGATAGATCTAGAAACATCCACGAGAGAGAAACATCGATCAGCTGCCTCCTGCACGCCCCCCAGTAGGGATGTGCCGGCAACCCAGGTACATGCCCTTGGCCGGAATCGAACCTGGGACCTTTCAGTCCGCAGGCCGACGCTCTATCCGCTGAGCCAAACCGGTCAGGGCTCAATCAATATTTCTTGAGCGAATAAAGGAACGAATGAACGAGAGAATGAATGAATGAATGAATGAATGAATGAATGAATGAATGAATGAGTGAGTGAATGAATGAGTGAATGAATGAGTGATGAATGAAGTCTCTGAGACGGGATTAGCCAGATGAGCAGACACAGGCTGCAGGGGGCACAGCGAGCCCAGAGCAGCAGCCTGGAGGCCCCAGAGCCGGGGACGCTGCACCCCTGGACTCTGCCCCACGCGCTCCAGGGCCGGCCCGCCACCCCTCCTCCCCACTCCCGGGGAAGGGAGGCTCCCTCCCGGCCTCTCCCCGCGGTCGGAGGCGTGGGTAGCAGCTGGGAGAACCGGCTGGGAGCTGCCCCTCCCCTTGGGCGCGGAGGTAGGCACCTGGCGGGTTCCCCCGGTGGCAGACGCCGCCGCTGCACACACGGGTCCCGCGCCGCGCCGTCTGCTCCCTGCACGTCCTCCCCTCCCCGCCCGCGCCCGCCGCCATGGACGGGCCCGCCGAGCCCCGGACCTCGGGCCTGTGGGGCACCTACGAGAACAACATCTCGGAAATCGGGTGAGGACCCCCCCCCCCCGCCCCGCCACCCCGCGCGCCCCAGGAGGTGGCCCGAGCGGAGAGCCGGGGGCCTCGGGCCAAGCCGGTCCGGCCTCCTGCAGCCTCAGCCCCGGGACTCGGCTGGACGGCGGCGGCCGCGGCCACTCGGGTGCCGGCGCTGGTGCCGCCCCGAGGGAGTGGGGGACCGAGGCCGCCCCGAGGCCCCGGCCGGGATGCGGGGCGCGCGTCCCTCGCGGGGCTGAGCTCTCCGTTTGCCGAGGGGTTGGACCGGGCGCGCGCGCGCGGCGAGCGGAGGGTTGGGGCGCAGTAGTTGCTCACGAAACAGAGAACCTGTTGTACGATTTCTTCCCTGGACGCCCCAGCAAGCCCTCAAGTCGGGGTGCCCTTCCTCACAGCAGCTCAGAAGGCACCCCGGCTCCGGCTCCGTCTGGGGTGATGGGAGCGCAGAGGTGGGGGGGGGTCAGGATGGAGCCGAGCCCCAGAACCGAGGCTGTGTGTGTGTGGGGGGGGGGGGGGCCGGCTCCCCACATCTCATCGGGGAGGTTGGGACAGAGCACTCCCCGCCGCTGGAGCCTGACTCCTTCCTCCCTGGGGATGGGCAGACACTGTCAGAGCCCCCCAGCCCCCCTCCGTTCCCAACGGGGGAAACTGAGGCTCCCAGGGAAAGTGCCTGTGCTCACCCAGCCAGGAGCAGGTGCGAGCCCGGTGGGTCTGCCCCCAGAGGCTGTGGTTTCTTGTCTCCTCAGCAGCCTCGGGGATACCCTCTCCCGGTGGCTCCATTTCTCAGCCGAGCCAGCAGAGGCTCAGAGAGGGCCGGCAGCCAGCCCAGGGTCACACAGCAAGCTGCTGACATGGTCTCCAGCTCCCAGGCCAGGGTCTCCCCGCTCAGGGAACACTGCATCCGGCCCCCCGCTCCCCGCCCTCACCCACAAGCTGGGCACCGAGAGGCCTCCCCGGTGCCCCAGATTCCAGAGATGGGAGCAGCTGGGTTCTAATTGCTGTGTGACCCAGGCAGGCCTCATGGTGTCTCTGGTCCTCCCAGGCCGGGGGAGCCAGCGGGCTGGTCCCAGCTCTGCTTGAGGGAGGTCCAGTAGTTCCCTTCTCCGGGCCCCGCGGGTTCTGCGGTTTCTCCTCCAGAGAGAAGCAGCGTCCCACCTGGGCTCCCGCCTCTAGGGAGGTTGCAGCCTCAGTTTCCTCATCTGAGAAATGGGCATAAATAACCTTCCTCTGTAAGACACGTCTGGACCCCTGGGTGCTGCTCCGGGGGCTTCCAACTTTCTTTTCCACGAGCTTCTAGAATCCCCTGGACCCGGAGGGAGGGAGGCCTCTCCTGAGGGCCCTTCACATCCCTTCTGGGGGCTCATCCCAGACCCCTCCGCACACAACATCCCCACTGAACTCCGCGGCTTCCCAGAGTGGCTCCTCCTCCGGGGTCGCCATCTCAGGGCTGGGCCCAGCGGTCACCAGGGTGACCCCCACGCACTGTCCTTGCCCCGTCCTCCCTCTGCCTCCCACAGCCTGGCCCTGCCCAGCCCCACTCCCCTCTAACCTGACTCTCTCCATTCCCGTGGCCCCAGCTCAGGCCTCCTCTTAGCCCCCGGAGCCTCGCCCTGGCCTCCCACCTCCAGTCCTTCCTAGAGCTGCCCCTCCCCTGCTCCCAGTCCCCAAGCGACTCCTAGCCCTGGCACTCTGGCCTCCCAGCTCAGTCACCTCCCTTGACTTTGAATTTCCTGGCCACACCTCACCATTCCCTGCCCCAGGGCCTTTGCATATTCTGTTCCCTCTGCAGGGATTCCCCCGCCACACACACACACACACACACACACACACACACACACACACACACACACACACACGTCTCCGTCTCTTGTAATCTCCACATCTCCCCCGGCCAGCCCCAGCTCCAGCCCCTTCCATGGCTCCCCAGCGCCCAGGGCAATGGTTTCCAAAACATTTTTAAGACGGGGAGACCTATGGCCAAGAGGAATCTTGATCCCAAACGGAACCACATCCATCGCAGAGATCAAGACAGAGCTGCCCTCGTGTAAATGGGGGGAGCGGGCCTAGGCTCCCACCACCGGCTTCTCCTGTGGCTTCGCCTCTCTGCTCCCACAGCCCTCACCCCCCTCGCTAACTGGGCCCCATCTGGCTGCCCCCCCACCGCCCTGCCTGGGTCGCCCACTTTGGGCCTGGGCCCCTGAAGTTTCTATTGCCTGGGAGGGCCTCGCTCCTTCCCGTGGCAAGTTTCTGCTCGCCCTTTAAGACGCGGCCACCACAGGCAGGTCCTGGTCGTGTTTGTCGTCTCCAACCCGTCCCCGAGGCACCAGGGAGGGCCAGCGTGGGGGCCTCGCGGTCCTGGGCTCGGGTGGCGGCTGTGACAGCTCTGGGCATGACGTCAGGGAATGAATGGAGGCGCCGGCACCCTCTGAGCTGGAGCTCGCTGGGTGGCAAGTCAGGATGAGAGGATGGTGAGGAAGGGCAGGGTGCACGGGGGCCAGAGGGGGGACACCGAGGGGCGAAGCTGCTCTTGGGGGGAGGCGAGAGGCTGTGGGTCCCAGCGGACCCCCCGGGCAGCGGCATGAGCGACTCCATGTCCAAGTCCCCATCTCCCCCAAGAAGAGAAACTACGCCCTATGTTGTTCAGGGTTACAGGCCTCTGTGATAAAACCGCTCCCCACCCCCAAACCAAGCAACGGACAAGGATTTAATTCGGGGTAGGGGTTGCGGGGAGAGGCCCAGGGGACAAGGGCGAGCCCAGGGACACCAGCAAGACTCACGGCTCAGAATGTTCTAGTTCACGGGCTTTGTTACCAGTTCTACTTGATGAATCGGATGGGTTCCATGTACCTTGTATGCACGCGGCAGACTGAAAAGGAATAATAAAGGCACAAATAAGTATTTTAAGAGGAAATGTTAGAAGCAGGAGGTAGGCAGGGCACAGATGGTTAGGGATGGTTGACAGGTTCCGTGGCCAATGGGGGGACAAAGCCAGGGACAGTAATCCAGAGAGAACTATTTTTAAATATTTGTATTGATTTTTAGAGAGAGAGGGCGAGAGAAACATCCATGATGAGAGAGAATCATTGATTGGCTGCCTCCTGCACGCCCCCTACTGGGGACCGAGCCTGCAACCCTGGCATGTGCCCCGACCGGAACTGAACAGGCAACCTTTCAGTGCTCGGGACGACGCCCAATCCACTGAGCCACACCAGCCAGGGCCCTAAAGAACCTTTTAAGTCCTCCCTGCACTCAGCGCTTTCCCATCTGACCTCATTCAACCCTCACAACAGCCGTTGGAGACGGACCATGATCACCCATTCGTGACAGACAACCGAGGCCCAGAGAGGTTGAGTGACTTGCCCAGGGTCACACAGCTGCCAAGTGGGGTGGAGCCGGATTTCCACTGAGGCAGGCTGACTGGACAGGGCGGGCAGGTGTGAAAGGAATGAGAGGGTGAGCAAGATGAGGGAGGGGCAGCATCCGGGAGGCAGCCCCTGCCCAGACAGGGAGGCTGAATGGGTTGTCCGAGAGCTTCCCCATTTCCTGGGAATCCGGAGCCCTGGGCTGTGCCTTGACCAGCCCCTTCCGGACAGGGTCAAGGCGAGAAGCAGCCAAGCCGGCATTTGAACCTGTGCTGCTGCTCCTCCCTGCCCCCCGCCCCCCCCCCCCCCCTCCCCGCCCCTTTGATCTTGAAGTCCACGTGCAGGCCCTTCCAGATCTTGGCCTCTTTATGACTGAAGTTGTCAGCCCTGGTTTTACAACCCCAGTCCCTCCCTCCTGCCCCCCCCCCCCCCCCAGTCACTCCAATGACTTTATGGCCACAGCCCTGCCCCCCACAGAGCTGCTTTTGCGGAGGGGAAGGCAGGCGCTAGGAAAAGGTTCTAAGCAATAAATAAATAGTAAGACCTTGGCCCCCAGGGGGAATTCGGGCTGGCAGAGGGGGGGGGAGGGGGGAGGGGCCTGGGCCGCCACTAGTAATTAAGGCGCTTTGGTGAGAATTAGAAAAAGATGGAAAAAAAGAAAAAGATGCTCACAGCCCCCCTTCCCCTCGCCCCACTCCCCTCTGCAAGGGACTGGGGCTTGGGGAGTGGAGGGAAGGCGGGTTTTGGTTCCTGCCTGCTCTCTGGGGGTGGGGGTGGGGGGGGGGGGGATGTGCTTAGGGACAGGGACCTGGGAACAGCCAGGACCCACTTGGAAAGAACTGGGCAGCCCATTTTGCTGAAGGGAGCCAGGCTCTGGGGCAGGGACCGGAGCCCACCAGCGGCATCGAAGGCCAAGGCAAGGAGGGAGCCCCGGTCCTGAGGGGGGAGGGGGGAAGGGGGGCAGCGAGGCCTGGCTCAGGGAGGAGGTGCAGTGGGGGGGAGGGGAGGCCAGCGGCTGGGCTTGCAGGTGGAGTTGGGCCCAGGCTGGGACCCGAGCCAGGACCCAAGGACCTGCCAAGCGATAAGAATGCCCGGGTCACACAGCTTCCCGGCAGGCGACCCTGAGTTCAAGTCCCACCCATGCGCTCGCTCGCTGGGGCCCGCGGGTACCGAGCTCGGGCTGCGGATCTGTGAAGTGGGCGCGGCCGGTGATGCCTGGGGCAGGGCCGACGGGCCCTCTGCTGAGTCAGGGTTTGCGCGCTGTCCTTCCTCCTTCTCTAATTCCCGTCACTCCTCTCCGGCCAGGAACTCGGGGTGCAGGGCAGGGCGGGGTCGGGGTGAAGATTGATAATAATTGCGACCTTCCCGGGCGGTTGCCGAGAGCCAGAGGCAGCCGGCGTCAGCCCATTTTACAGATGGGAAAACTGAGGCCCAGGGAGACACGGCACATCTGAGATTTGCTCCAGAAATGTCACTGTTAAGCCCTCGCTAGAGAAAAGTGATCAGACAGGGGCCTCGAAGAGGCTGTCCCTCTGTGGCCATTGTCAGGTCCCCGCCAACAGGAGCCAGGCCAAGAGGCATTGTGAGAGTTTAAGAATCTGTGTTACATCCTCTCACAGCGGGGCACCGAGGGCGGGT